GCAAGTGAGTGGACCCGGGTTCGATCCCCGGATAGGGTGAAACTATGGGCAAGTTTCTTTATGCCATTTGCCTGTCTACCCATCGGTAATTGGGGACCTGGATGTTATCGATTTGTGGATCGTATTCCGGGGTAATGGTTAGCCAGTGCAGTTGGCGAGTTGTCCGGTCTTCTCGGACAATTCCTTGACACTGGGTCATGCAACTCGTTAATTCAGGGTGTGGTTTTTGTGTTGGCGACAGCTTCTACACTTTAAACAAATTCACCCCTAGGTGGCCCTTGGGCCAGCCATCCTCGATTCCGAGGGGCTATTATTATTATTATTATTATTATTATTATTATTATTATTATTATTATTATTATTATTATTATTATTAGTATTAGTATTAGTATTAGTATTAGTATTAACACAATGCCGACTTGATGTTGGGATGAAAAAAGAAAGTGTAACATACATCTGAAGGTGAAGAGGTCATATTTCCAGAGAGGGGGAGAGTGATTAAAGAAAAGACATAAATAGAGGAAGGGGAGTGAGGAGAGTAAAGAGAGAGAAAGGAGGTGGTGAGAAGGAAGGGGGTACATGTTCACAGGACGCAGAAGATGAGGGCCAGGGTATAGTGTGTGTGTTTGCAATGCTGCAGATCCAGGTTGTTTACCACGCTCACTTCATAACCTGCACAACCAGGGTGCGTGGGTACCTGGCCTCCTGACCCCTCCCACCCCTCGTGTTTATCATTCTCTCATCGTCCTCTCCGTCAGTGACTTGGCTGCCTCCCCCCAGTTCCCTTCCTCAAGCCAGACCAATAATACTTAATTTAAGTTATTTTTCTCCATCCCTCTTTTATGATGTACTGTTCTTGTGTCTTGAATATAATAATGATTATGACTTGAAGATAAAGTTGAATATATATGTGAAAATACAGTAACATATAATTGTGTTTGGTGATAGCGATCATTCTGATACTGCAGGAAGATGCGAGACGGGGCAGGAGGTGGTGGTGGTGCCTCTGTGTGACTGTGACTTACTGAGGTCTAAAGTTGGAACCCCACAAGGGGACATTAGTTCTCCATGACGTGTGTATCGACTGTTACTACTGCAGTAATGTGTCCAAGTCCTCAGTGGAGTGATGGAGGTGTGAATGGAGGTGATGTACGTGTTTAGGGAAATCTGAACAACGTAGGTACAATAATACACCCTCCTCCTCTCCCCGGCCGTGGAGAGCGTGACAGAGGAAGAGACTGCCAGTATTATGGTGCAGGGAGGACGTGAGGGATCCTGTGTGTAAGTGTCTTGAGTTTTTTTTAATGTCAACGACTTGTGAAATAAATCTCTGGCATTTACATCAAACTCGACATTTCTTAGGGAGGATTAGCCGCAGATTGTCTACTGCCTCTCCGTATAAAGTGCTCGTAATAGCTCACCATCACCGAGCGGTCTGTTCTCGCCGCTGGTAATCAGGTTCTGCCTTGATCATTTTAGTCAGTCTACTGTACGGGAAGTTTGATCTTACTTATTGAAATGAGGTTTGTTAGGCAGTTCAGCATGTTCTCGACTAATGACGGTAATGTGGGAAGGTTGGCGGAGCTGTGGGGAGAAGGGGTATGTGTGTGGCTAGAGGAGGTGTGAGGCTAGAGGAGGTGTAAGGCTAGAGGAGGTGTGAGGCTAGAGGAGGTGTGAGGCTAGAGGAGGTGTGAGGCTAGTGGAGGTGTGAGGGCAGTAGAGGTGTGAGGGCAGTAGAGGGTGTCAAAGAAGATAAACTCTAAGCAGATTTACCACCATGTTTCATTAAGCAACTACTACCTTAATATGGCCAGGATTCTTTAGACACATTATTATTTTAGTCTTAAACTGCGCTTCTTTTTTTTTACGGACTTCAACAACAACCTAAAGATGGCGGTCATGGAGCACAGAGACACTACACAGACGAGACGAGTCATCGTATTTTCCTGGTCAGTTGTACTTAATATACACGTAAGAATTTTTGTGAATCCTGACACAAAATTTTGGCCCAACGACTCACCCAAGTCCTGGCTACCGCGGAACGTTTATTTATGCATGCACGTTCTTTATTACAGCAAGCCCACACGTTCTTTATTAAAGTAAGCCCATGCTGTCTTTATTATAGTAAACACACACGTTCTTTATTTATAGTAAACACATACGTTCTTTGTCCTATAAAACTTACTGTGCGTGCGTGCGTGCGCGCGCAACGAGTCTACCATTATCCATGAACAACTACGCTGAACTGGCCATGTTACCCGTATGGATGACAGTAGACTGCCAAAGCAGCTACTTTACACTCACCCTACTAAGAATAAACGTAACGCTGGCGGGCAACTGAAAATGTATAAGGATAGTCTTAAGACAAACCTGAAAAAGTGCCAAATCGACCCCCTCACCTGGGAGACGATCACTCCACATCGTAACGCTAGGAGCACCACCACGCGAGAATGTGTCAATACTTTGGAGTTAGCCCGACTGCATACCGAGGCAGACAAGCGCCAACGCCGGAAAGACGCTGCCACCGCCACTCCCGCACTGGATGTAGCCCTCCACACGTGCAACACCTTGGGCGATCCTGCCGGTCCCGTATTGGCCTCTTTAGTCACCTCAGAGCTCACCGACAAAGGTGACATCCCTAATAACTCGTACCATTGTATCATAGCTGGATGATCGTTATACTCGATTCCAAGTGACAGCAAAGTAATAATAGTAGTAGTAGTAGTAGTAGGGTGCGTGCGTGAGACGAGGTGTGTGTGGTGGGGGGAGGAAGGTGTGCGTGTGTGTGCGTACGTCACAATGCAGAGGGTGAGGGAGGTGCGTGCTGGCATAATATAGTTAACCGGACACAGCCGCCTCCTGTAGGCCTACCACCACTAGGCCTACCTCTCCACGTAATGAGTTCCGCTTGTGTCACTAGGGGCCACCCCCCACCCCCACCACCCCCGCGATCCTCAGAGATTCGTACGCTAAAGTTTCCCTGTATTTTTTATAAGTGGGAACACATTTAATTTCCTCGCCAAAACCGATTACACAAATGTGGAAGTAAAAATACCCCGGGACTGTTCTGTGGGCGGGTGGCTGCCTTCTCTCATAAATAAGGGGAAAATATTATCTTCAGAATCATTGATAAATCTGGCACAGCCTCAGACTGTTTGGGAAGTAGTAACAGCAGTAGAGGAAATGTTTACATTCACAAGTGGTGGCGGTGAGAGTTAGCATGTAGGAGGAGGTGGAAGAACAGCTCCCGCGCCAGGCTGCCTCCATCAGCAGGTTGTGGGCCTAAAAGTGAGAGATTTTCCGCATGCGACGGTGTGATCAAGACTTAGGCTTATGTTAGTGGTCGTAGGCCTATTGTAGAGAGGGGGGATTGGATCTGGCCTCCGGTAATGTGAAGGTTATTCTTGTGTACGTAACGTGTGCACCTTATGGCTGTTAGCTGCTCCTAGGGTAAAAGTCATTAACAGATATAAACCTTTGTATCACGTGCTCTAATACTTTAGTTGAATGTTATATCTATTTGATTGTTACACATCAAACTATATTGACGCGACAAATAATGTTTTGGTACATTATAGAATTGGATTACACTATAGCCTGCTGCTATATGTCCAGTATGTGTGCCTCCTAGGAGGCCAGGTGATGCACTCCCAGGATACTCGTTCGGACACACCATGTCCAATTACTGTGTGTCAACATGTTGACCTTCGAAGTAATCCCTCGAGGCTCGCAGCACAGAACCTCCGTGCTAGCGAAGCTCAATTCCTTCTCGATATTCTCCCCCAACATCCTGGCGGCCATCTCCGGACTAGAGGAAACTGATAACGTCTGTGTCAAGTTTATCTGAACTCATCCCACACGGTAATTGCTGCCTGGGACACTATTGGTCACCTTACCAAAGAAGCGACACAGGAAGAGGACACAGAGACCCTCGCCATCAACCACCTCATATCACGGATGCACACTGCATAATATGAGACCTTGAACGAACACTGGACGCATCTCCAACACTGCGGAGGGAAGTGGCACACTGCGCCACTATGACGCAGTAACCGGAGATGACAACCATCCTACAAGAGTATCAACCCCTGACTCGGTCTCAATAGATTGTGTATACAAGACTGCACCTTGGATAGAGGCACCACTGGACAACCCGGAGCCTACATGTACACTTCGTGGGCTCTCACTACATGACCCGGAACCTCCTCCTACAGGTCCCCAGCTGGCACTACCACGTCATCCCTCCCTGACCAAGTATCCCTCCTCCTAGTGACTGTCTTGATGACACTTGACATAATTAGGGACCCGTCACGCTTTACCATAAACAGATGAACCTGTACAAGAAAGCCTCCCTCTGTGCACTTATCCTTCCTTCACTACAGGCAACTTAGCGGCCCCTCATTCACTCTCACCCTCCCGTCAAGTAAGTTTATGAAGGCAAGTATCAACCCCGCATGCTTCCCTGTTGGGCGGTGCAATGCTTCGGCGCTTCACTTTGCACACGGTGCAATTGGGTGCACAATACACAAGCCCCCCACGCCTGTGTAGAGGCAAACATGAAATCTGAATCTGTCTGGAACACTTTCTGGAGACCATTCCGTACAATTTCCTTCAAGATGTCTGCCGTAGCCAACTGAAGAGCGTTTGTGTAATATAAACGTCGTCGTTCCAGACTTGAGTTCAACGCGGGAAACTGATGAGCGTAGAGGGTAACAAGGTAGCGTTACCACTACGTCATGCCACAACTCGGACATGTTCATCTGTGTGACGGGTCGTGTAAGATTAAACAGAATAAAGAGTAAGAAGGAAGGACAGAATGGAGATCAATAAGAAAGGAAGGAAGTCGACGAAAAAATTACAAAAGGGAAATAACTAAAATTACAATACAAATAATAACATGCACAACTAATACAAAATACATAAAATAAATCTCCGATATAGCAAGAGTGAGAGAGCAATTTTACAGGAGGAAGAAGTCTTGACGTCAGTTGAGAAGACGAATGAGCCGCCTTGTGAAGGTGATCGGTGAGGCAGGCTGCTGGGGGTCAAAAATTGTTGGCCAAGATAAACCAACTCTTCAACTGGACGAAAAATTTATCGCCCAGGCTCTAGATAAGAGGAAAATGGCGGGAAAAAGAGTAGCTCTACGTGTGTTTAGAAAAGAGGAAAATGGTGGAAAAACAAAAGAGATACCGATTATACGTGTGTTTAGACAAGAGGAAATTGGTGAGAAAAAGAAAAAAATCCTAATATGTTGTTTTACTTAATGTTGAATGTAACTTTTCTATCGTAAACTACATAAGCTCTCTATGACTATTAATGCAGTGTGAGGAGGAAGGTACAGCAGGAGGACAGGTAGTACAGCAAGAGGAGGAAGGTACAGACAGCAGGAGGCGGGAAGGAGCACTTCATCTCCCACCGGCTATTACTCAGTGTTCAGTGCGTAGTTTAAGAGGGAAATAATATAACAATGTGGGCGACCTGGGGGAAGGCGGGGTACTGACACCCGGGGGAGGGTAGGGGAACTGGCACCTGGGGGAGGGCGGGGTGCTGGCACCTGGGGAGGCAGGGTGCTGGTAACTGGGGAGGGCAGGGGTGCTGGCACCTGGGAAAGGGAGGATGGGGTACTGACACCTGGGGGAGGGAGGATGGGGTACTGGCACCTGGGGTGAGGACGAGGGTAGGGTACTGGCACCTGGGACGAGGACGAGGATGGGGTACTGGCAACTGGGGTGAGGACGAGGGTAGGGTACTGGCACCTGGGATGAGGACGAGGATGGGGTACTGGCAACTGGGGTGAGGACGAGGGTAGGGTACTGGCACCTGGGGGTGATGGAGGAGGGGGAAGTACTGTACTGGGGTGGTAAAACTCATGATTAATTAAAGCGACAGTTTCGGAGACACATACTCCATCTTCAGGCAATCGAAAACGAATGAAACGGAGAATAGAAACACGTAGTCACTGCAGTCATTGCGATTTAAATGACCAGTGTTTGTTGTGTTGGAGGAGTTAACAAAGTGTGGTGTTGGAGGAGTTAACAAAGTGTGGTGTTGGAGGAGTTAACAAAGTGTGGTGTTGGAGGAGTTAACAAAGTGTGGTGTTGGAGGAGTTAACAAAGTGTTGCCTTTCCCTACAGGAGCGACAAGGGAGGTAGGAGCAGCTCTGACCCGGATCTGCCTGCGTCACCGAGCTGTGGAGTCCCGCGTCAAAACCCTTACCAGGTATGGTGTGTGTGTGTGTGTTCGTTCTAAGATGGACATTCACTGCTTATACTACAATCTTTAATATATTTCCCATTGTTCCTCGCCCTCCTTCCTCTCATCTCTTAACAGTATTATCTCCTCTTTTTTATAAATTTAAGACATATTCTCGCCATATCTCGTGTCCGTCCACAGTTTGAAGGCTGGTATGGCTTTGGCCAGTCTGACACTCACTTACCAAGTTTCTGAGCCATAATAATTATAGTTAATCCCACATAACACTCAACTGTTTATTGTTATCAACGGTGACTTCCCTGAATTCTCGCTTACTTGTTTATTATCTAACTTATTTTTTCTCTATCAATGATATTCAGTTTAATCATAGTTTCTTAAGTTTTTGTTCTCGTTTATTTTTATTTTTATATTCTTAGCTTTATCTTGACTCCATATTTGTCCCAGTTTTCTTGACATTATTACAATCTTCTGTAGTTCGTCTTATCAGTGCTTCGTGGTCTTGCATTTCACTCGTCCCATTGTTAGTGTTATCCTGTGTCTAGTTCGTATAGAAGCGAGATAAACCTGACCGCAACACAGTACAGGTCACAACACAGTACAGGTCACAACACAGTACAGGTCACAACACAGTACAGGTCACAACACAGTACAGGCCACAACACAGTACAGGCCACAACACAGTACAGGTCACAACACAGTACAGGTCACAACACAGTACAGGCCACAACACAGTACAGGTCACAACACAGTTCAGGTCACAGTACAGGTCACAACACAGTACAGGCCCACAACACTGAACACAGTACAGGTCACAACACAGTACAGTCACAGTACAGGCCATAACACAGTACAGGTCACAGTACAGGCCACAACACAGTACAGGCCCACACACAGTACAGAGCACAACACAATTTCACAGTACTGGTCACAACACAGTACATGTCACAGTACAGGCCACAACACCGTACTGGTCACAACACAGTACATGTCACAGTACAGGCCACAACACCGTACTGGTCACAACACAGTACAGGTCACAGTACAGGCCACAACGCAGTACAGTTCACAACACAGTACAGGTCACAACACAGTACAGGCCACAACACCGTACTGGTCACAACACAGTACATGTCACAGTACAGGCCACAACACCGTACTGGTCACAACACAGTACAGGTCACAGTACAGGCCACAACACAGTCCAGGTCACAACTCAGCTTGTTGAGGTAAGTGTTCAGGTGTGCTGATGTTTGAGATGGGTATAGTTGTGTGTTCATGTTGCCGCGGGCTAAGACATTTCACTATTTTTTGACCCCTTGTATAGCGCTCTGGTGGAGTGTGTGGTGGTGCCCCTACAGGAGAAGGTGGAAGAGTGGAGACGGTCTCATCACGCATTCGACAAGGACCACACCAAAGGTAACACACTCTAGTCATATAATCTAAACACGGTAAATACTCCCACAGTGATGTCAGGAACAGTGTTACATAGCATAACATCCACAGTGATGTGAAGAACAGTGTTACGTAGTATAACTCACACAGTGATGTGAGGAACAGTGTTACGTAGTATAACTCCCACAGTGATGTGAGGAACAGTGTTACGTAGTATAACTCCCACAGTGATGTGAGGAACAGTGTTACGTAGTATAACTCCCACAGTGATGTGAGGAACAGTGTTACGTAGTATAACTCCCACAGTGATGTGAGGAACAGTGTTACGTAGTATAACTCCCACAGTGATGTGAGGAACAGTGTTACGTAGTATAACTCCCACAGTAATGTCAGGAACAGTGTTGCATAGCATAACTTCCACAGTGATGTCAGGAACAGTGTTACGTAGTATAACTCCCATAGTGATGTCAGGAACAGTGTTACGTAACAAGTTAAGTCTTACCTGCAGTGTAAGACTAAAGGTATTTATTATAAGTTGGCTCAGACTTATCTTCGCGAAGTTTTGTTTGAAGTTAACTGGTCTCTAAATTTTAAAACATCCCGGTTGACTCACTAATACGGTTGTCTTAATAACGCTGACTGATTAATCTTGAGATTTACTCACTCTAAATTTTGTTTATAATAGATAATTAATTTATGACATGGAGACACCCTATCCTCAGTGTGAGAGTTTATTTCCAGTTGACGAATAGCCTATGTATTGTGCTTCGTAACGGCGGCGGGCAGGAGAGAGTGCACACTAACTTGTGAACCTAGCCTTACCAGTTGACTACAAATTCCAGGGGAAGCACGCGCCTTATTTAAATGTACACTCGTGAATTAAGAACACATATTGACGTATTGCACACATTAATGGTCGCTCAACACTTTAGTTATTTTAATGTCAAAATGTCAATTGTTTAGTGTTACGCCGTTTCATTGTCAAGGTACGCTGGCAGAATTGTGTAAACTGCGAGTTAAAAACACTCCACTTATAATTTGTATGCTGTCCAAGTTATGGCTCGTGAAAGTCGAAAAGAAATTAAGTCCACAAATTGTGAAGATCTCTGGCAATACTTGTACCTCACTCTGGCCAGTAATAATACCAGTGACCAGATACTTGTATGTAGTGTAAATCATCAGCTAGTGAGGATAGGTAAGGACTGGGTTGATATACGAGATGACAACAGCAATAGGTCACACTCCTATAACAACTTGGAGTACTACATGTTACCTATATAATCACTGGGTCAATTTAGGTGTATTGTTTTCCATGTGTGAGGGGTTATACTTTTATTTCTTCATTGTTGTGTCACATCATCTTGCATTAATTTATTTCACTCTTATGAGTCTTATCGAAATTGCATGATAGTTGGTCACCACGCAGGTATCAACACTTTTATGGGACAACCCTCTGAAGACGTTGTAAGACTCGTGCACTATGTGGTGGCCGCAACACACAGTCACTAACACACCCCTCCTTCCTGTCGTCACCTACAGAGTATAAGAAAGCGCGGACGGAAATAAAAAAGAGGACTGAGAATGCCGCCCGACTACAGAAAAAGGCCAAGAAGGCGGGCAAGAACTCCGAACTGAACAAGGTGAGAGAGTGATCACTGTACTGTACTTATTGAAGAGGAGAGACACTTGTGTATGAGTGACAACAGCTGTGGTACAGTCAACCAAAGATGCACTGACCCCACCCTGGGTTTCGTAATCGCAATTTTACCTGACAATATTTGGTAAAGTAAGACTGTATATAATAGTCATTGTGATTGGTGGATCTATTTTCTGCTGTATCACTGTCAGGATAAATATTAAACAAACCAAATGTAACATTTTTATAATAATAAACTGTTGATCATTATTTTAGATCATGAGAAGTTTTAAAATGTTCGTATATTTGCTTAAATATTGAAGAAATTTTGACTTGAGAATTTTGTGGCAACTGTGGTTGTAGTTGAGTCGCCGTATAATTTTCTTCATTATTTAAGCAAATATACGAAAATTTTAAAACTTCTCATGATCTAAAATAATGATCAACAGTTTATTATTATAAAAATGTTACCTTTGGTTTGTTTAATATTTATCCTGACAGTGAGTTGACTTGTGACCTTGTATCTTACTGTACATGAGTGACGACAGTTGTATTTCTTGTTGTACCTTGTATTGACTGCATGACAGCAGTGGGCGGGTTGGCAAACACGCATGACGCCCGCATAAAGGCGATGGCCTCCAGCTTATTGGTGAGGTCAGGACCTTAGGATTAAGGGAGGTACTTAACCATTTTATGGTGTAGTTGAGCACCACTCAGCTTCTTCATTGTGTGTGGTTCGGTACTTCTCCGTTGGGCGTCTGTCAGGTAGGTAGTCCAGGGTGATTCAGCGTCGAAGGACACGTTCAACTCTTTATATCGCTGAACTTTGCAACTGAGTTATCCTGTAGACTTGAGCATCATCGCCCCTCACATCATCTGGCTCCGTCTGACGTCCACTTCCGTCCACTTCTCAAAACTTTTGGACCATAGAAGCTAAACCACCTTCCAGGCGAGACCGTGCATCCACCAGGCTGCTTACCATCGCCTCCAGCATTCCATTTCCGCCCACCGGGGTCCCGTTAACGTTTCAGCCCGGCGTAGGGTTCACCGTTCCCCGACTTCCCCTTGTGTACTGTGTCCAGTGGAGTTGGCGCACCCCATTGTGACCTAAGATGCTCCCATCACCTGTGGAGGGCGGGGAAGCTCACCCTGGACACACTTACGTAACACCGCTCTCGTCCTCCGCTCAAGATTGCTAATGAGAACGTCGTCGGCTAGGTCAAGCTGAGAGGCCGGGGCGTAGAAGGTGCAGTTCGCGGCCGGGTGCTTTCTTTAATTTCAGGTTCATGACTAAGACCGACAGGGCGAGCCGATGTCTCTGTCAACTGTGGCCACAGGCTAGATTAACTACAGCCAGTCCACCGGTCTCCTCTTCCCCGCTTCCCGATTCCTCAGCCACATGTAGCCGAGCTTCGGAGCCAGACTGTCATGGGTCATGTCTGTGCACCCTGACACCGCGAAGCTCCCTGGAACTCTACACCCCTGGATATAATTGCATTGTTGGCCATGCAGGTGCTACACCTGCTTAACCTGCGGACGGCCTCGAAGCGACTCGGTGAGAATATTTCTTGGAACTTGCCACCGTCCGACACCCAGTGGATGGCGTACATTACCTGCACTGCTGCCCGGTACCCTGCAGAGGACATCCTTCCTTCGCTGGTATCACCGTTGCCTCTCACGTACAAGCTAGAGGCCCTACTTTGGGCGTGGACTACCCCTCCTCGTCGTTCTAATACCTTCGGTAGCTTTCTTCCCGTTTAGGTCAAGGAACTCGACTAATCTCTCGAATCCATTTCTGTGACCTGCACGTCAGCGGCTCTGTAACCTATGGACGACCCCGCGCAGGTGCTTTCATACATGGTGGGTTAGTGTCTCGCTGTATAGGTGATAGGTGAGATTTGGTAACTCGCTTGTCGTCCAGCCTAATATAACTACAGTCTCATTGTAGCCCATTTATCCTCCATCAGTATTAATACCCAACAAAGTGGTCTGGACTTTGAAGAAGAGGGGGAATTGTGGGGATAAAACGCGTATAACAGAATGTTCTGAAGGATAATATAAAAGTAGCATGTAGTTGAGTGTTTTTCCTGTCTCATAACTTCTATCAGTTCAAATCATCTTGAGTCAAGTATCTTCAGCCTTTGGCAAGGTGAATAGATATGAAAGCGATACTTGTCTCCCCTCTCCCTGTGCTTTGTGTTAAAACATCTGGCAGTACTACTTCTTCACAAGAATCTCTCTTTAGTGAAACCTTTCAGGTTCGACCATTTGAGGAGCCGTTGATTTTATTGTAAAAGTCGAGTGACCAATAAGTCACCACAACTGCGTTAAACGTAGGGCAATCACAAGACCGATAGCGTCATGTAGGGGGCCGGGCGAGAAAAAATATCTCCGTGGACGAGTGACTCGGTGAGTGAATGTGTGAATGAGCGGGTAAGTAAGTAAGTAAGTGATTGGGTGAGTAATTAAATGGATAAATGAGTGAGTGAGTGGGTTTAGTCAGGAAACACGATCATAAGAGCTGGCTAACGTAACCATATCAATGTGTTTTCCAGGTGTTGGAGTCAACAGTGGTGGACTTACGGGCACGCTACGGCGTTCTGGAGGAGGTGGAGAGGTCAGCAGTGCGCCAGGCCCTGACGGAGGAGCGTGCCAGATACTGTGCGTTCGCCCACGCCCTCAGACCCGTCCTGGTGAGTCAACATGACCTTGTCATAGGTCTCCATATTAAAACAATGTATTTATGAACAGCAATAGAAGAGATGTAACAGTGTATTCACAGTAACGTTATGACAGTAAATGTGTGTGTTACTCACGTATTTTGTGTGGGCAGGATGAGGAGGTCGGGCTGGTGAGTGAGCTGGGCCACCTACAGGAGGTCATGAACCAGCTGGAGAAGCACGTTGCTGACCCCCACACCCTCCCACCAGCCAGCGAACAGGTAGGTCAGGTTGTGTCACTAAGCGCTTGAGGACTGTGTATGAGTATGTGTTGAGCCGGAACTGTATTAGGGCGGATGACTCTGAACCCATCCAGCGTGTTTCCCATCCCACCCATCCCTGTTATGCTGCCCCCGCTACCACCACCCTTACTCCCCTTTCCTCTTCCCTTCTCAGATATACCCTCTTACCCCTCTCCCTTTCCAACATATCCCCTCTCAAATCTCTTACCAAACACACTAACATCATTAGAGATTATGTATCTGAAGTGTTGTGATCCAGCCATCTGACATGACTCTGTCACTCTCCAAACTGTTTCATGGGCTAGAAGCCTCAAGAAGTATAGAAAGAATTCTTCTGGACTTCAAATGATGAAAAAAAATGTATTCTTGACTTCAAGTTGAGGACAGTTTATTAGCCGGTGAGTGGGATTGAAGAAGGACGTTTGATGAACCATTACTAGCCTGAAGGTTTTCTACTGGCGTGTTACTGTTCATAAGCTCAGTAGAAGGCTCCCCACATTCAGTGTAGGAAAGAGATTTTACCTGTTTAAGTTACTTTGTCTCGGGGTGAAGGCTACTCCCAGAATCTTCACTAAGCTCTTAGAAGTCTTATTAGAAGTCAGTTAATTGCCATACCCCCAAATTTGTCGTCATTGTGGCTAGAATCTTTTTGTTTTTTACGGGCATTAGCCCACCCGAGCACAGGTCATATTTAATGACCCACATCAAGGCCTAGGGGACGAAAATATAATAAAATAATGATAATAATTATGATGATGATGATGACAATAATAATAATATTAATAAAATTAATACAAAAACATATAAAAAATATATAACAATTATAATAAAAGAAAATAATAATAAAAATTTAAAAATATATATATAATAATAATAATAATAATAGCCATAAATAAATACAAATACAAAAAAAAAATATCGAGAGAAATGATATACGAGTACGTATGTTGTGTTGTCAAAGTAAGAGAAACAATTGAGACCCTACAATTGTGTGTAAATGAGGCAGGAAGTCAGATCAGCAACCTGGGACTTGGTCACAATTTTTTTTGATGCCATATGGCGGTAGTACCTCCCTGTTTGGTAGGTGCCTACTATCTGGAGTCCTTGTAGTCACTGGCTAAATCACAGTGGTGCACTAGAACTGGTCGGTTAGTTTTAAAACATTCATTCAGTTGCCAAGAAAATAAGTGTTATCTTGTCCCGGAGTGAGGCGAGGCATCACGTAGAGAGTGCGAGTGTTTGGTAGGAAGTGTGTTTACTGCAGCCCCTGTAGTGGAGACAGGTAGGCTTCTCTGATTGTGTGTGGTCCCAGTAAATAGTCACCTTTACGAGATGGAGTAGAAAGTGTTTCGCTGGTTTCGCGGACATTACAGTATTGAAGTGGATAGGGTCATTCATACTAAGAGGGGAGTTGCTGAGAAGTCAGACGAAAAGTTGTCCCATCATTCAGCTGTGGAGCTGAGACAGGGGTACAAGAAGAGACGGTGTTTGTTGGCAGTTCTTCAGCTACCACACCACGAAACTGGCGACCCGTAGTGTTGTGATTTCATAAGGATCGTCAAGGAGTTGCCCTTCACATTCAGAATGTGGGACCGGATGGGTCTTGCTAGGTTTGGCTCTAACCAAGTTTATACTGGACTGGACTTTGGGGGCGAAGTATCTTTGTTGAGGTTAGAGGTGAACCTTAACCATGACCCTTCTTTTTCCCTGAATGAAACTCTTAGCCTGAACCCGTGTTTACTATTACGAGTATTTTATCTGAGACTTTATCATTATATCAGTACCAAGGTTGTGAATTCCCACGTTACTTGAGTACTATCCAAATCCATTGTCATGTAATAATATCGGGCAGTGTTGAGTATAGCCTGAGGGGCGTCACTGTCGCTGAGTCCACGTTAAATGAGACAACAAAGTAGCATCAGCCAAGGACAGGTCGACGGCTGGTGGTGTTCCTGACGGCTCCTCTGTACGAGTCACTACCATTATTCACTAAATATAGTAAAGAATATGATACGAAGCCAGCCACTTGTTCACTTCCTCCAGTACACTTGTTGCTTCTACATGGGTAATGGAGGGCGTAAAAGTCCCCGAGCAGCAACTTCCTGCCGGACAGCTGAATTGTTAGTGACCATCTCGCCCACATTATGGGGCCCGCCTAGTGGACATAAATATTCAACAAATAATAATCAGCAGTAGCTTCTGACTCTTACTTCACTTCCGTGTGTGCACAGCCAATACACCTGTACGATTACAGGAGGGTGGAGGGGTAGAGCAGGCAGGAGGAGGGAGGGGTAGAGCGGACAGGAGGAGGGAGGAAAAGGCAAGAAGAGAGCTGAGAAAGCTATACTGCTTTAAAGCGCTTCCTGAGAAAATAAAACTCCGCCCGGTGACATCATTTATCACACAGATATTAACTTACCCAGCAGTACCTCTTCATAGTATGAGCACCACTCAAATATCAAAATTACAGGTGGTCCAAAATGAAGCCCTAAGATTCGTCACAGGTAAAAGATACTCCTTCACCAGAACCACAGCCGAGATACATAGAGACCTGAGAATAAAACCCATCAACCAGCAGCTGCACACCCTGACCAGCAGAATCTGGCAAAAGATAGAACGATCAGAGCAAGAACTCCTTCAAAGACTCCCACCAGATAACGACAACAACCATACATGGTTCCCAAAAAGTTCCCAAATCTTAAAAGGTCCATTACCACCCCCGATCTACACTACACGGCCAGGCAATAGACAACCTCCCTAGACCAGCATCCGCCAGTAGGGTCGGCGGAATATTAAATAAGGCCCTCAAAACACCCATATATGGGTTAGGGTAGGATGTCTAGTGCCTGTACCGACAGACAATAACTAACCCATGATACAACCCAAACACACTATTAGCTTAGCTAGGCGGTCAGCCCGCCCTCTCTTACCTCTTCCTAAATTTCTTCAATTTCCGAACTATAACTTCCTTCCCCCACCTCTAATCTTCTTTCACCCTCCTTTCCCTACAAAAAAGGGGGGGAAGGGGCAGAGGGGGCAGGAGGGGGTAAAGGGGGCAGGAGGGGGCAAAGGGGGCAGGAGGAGTTGTTGTGGTACACGTGAGCTGTTGTGGTGCACGTAAAAGCTGTTGTGGTGCACGTAACCTCTTGTGGTACACGTGAACTGTTGTAGTTGCGGTGCACGTGAGCCATTGTGGTATACGTTGACCACTAACGCACTCGGGTTCACGAAGGCCAGAGGGGGTAGAGGGGGCAGTAAAAACGCGAGGGTAGACCGCAAAACTTCAAATAAAACTTCCAGGAGGTGAAAAGTATCCCCAAACCTAAAACGTGAGCCATGGTGGTGCACGTGAGCTGTTGTGGTGCACGTGAGCACCTAGACAGCAGGTAGACACTATCGAGGGTCGGCTCTGTCTGGCTAAATATATTAGACACTGACGGAAACAAACTACCCTAACAAACTCTAAAATATTGTCAAGCACACGAATGATCTGATGAACAATGTAATTGAAATGTATAGTGCACGAAATGTTTTCATAGGTGTGCAACTTTCTGTAGCATTCCTCGCTGTGCTGTTGTCTGTGATTCACAAATCTCTGTATTTAACAGTAAAGACTACTGTTAACTTATAAAATTTATTTTAATGAACACAATTGTGTTTTTCTTTATAATATAATTTTTGGTATAAAATTATTTCAGAATTGGGTACAAAAAATTGGCCCACATGATACTGTATTTTTCCTGTGTCTGTGAAGTTTCTGGTTAGTGTACCATTCAATCAGCCCGTTTCCAGATTATTTTGACAGTTGACAGTTTTTTGTCATAGTGGTGATGCTGAACCTCTGCTGGTGTATTATTACCAGGTGCCCGCCTGGTTGACGTTAGGGCTAATGAAGATGGGGCAGGACTTCGCTCGGGGGCAGCAGGACACACCGGGGCAGGCCCAGGCACTACACCAATAGTGAAGGCCCTGATGTGGGTCAGTGACCTGTGCCCTGAAGGGCTAATCCCCGTGGAAAAAAAAAAACCTTCCTCTCACCCCTATACACAATGCTTTTCTGTTCACCCACCATACGCTTTTCCAAATTTTTTGTAAGTAATAAAAACACAATAAGAATTATTAAAATCAACAAAAGCTTATTAAAATAAAGAAAAAAAGCATGGATGGATTAAAAAATATATATTTAGTTTTAAACCATTGGTTTCAATTGGCCTACTCTGGGTAGATTGGTGTACAAGGTACAGACAGGCAGTAGAAGTGGTTCACAGGGCACAGTACAGACGTCTAGTCAAGCGGCGCCACACCTGACGGGGTTCTCAGTACAGTACAACCTTCGTGATACAAATTATAGGAATTTGTTTTGCTTACATTCGTCCCTACGACATGCGCCTCGCCGATCCATCACTTCTCTACAGTGAATATTTAATAATTACAATATTAGGGTTTGAGGTGGTCTTGACTACTTTGCTTGTGCTTGTACTATTCTTTATTATAGCTAGCTTGTGAAAGGGATTTTTTGTTTGTGGACTTCCTACATAACTACAGAAGTAACGTAGTACCTTGTTGGCATTTACATTGAGAACATAGCTAGTTTGTGACAGATGATGGCATCTGATTGGATAAAAAAAAAAAGATTGGATAATGAACAGACGAACATAAGTCAGTATACATTATATCATTTCCATAACCGTGACAAACTGTAAAAGCGCACTTCCAGTATATATATATATATATATATATATATATATATATATATATATATATATATATATATATATATTATATTATATTATAATATATTATATATATTATATTATATTACATATATATTTATATTATATTATATATATATTATATATATATATATATATATATATTATATATATATATATATATATATATTATATATATATATATATTATATTACATATATATATATATATTATATTACATATATATATATATATATTATATTACAT